CTGAAGTCGGACGCTTAACCGACTACGCCACCCAGGCACCCCTTTTAATGTTTTTTAGTTCAATCCAAGACAAGATAACAGGGATAAAAGAACAGATAAGGGGCGCCTGGGTGGCTCAGTCAGTTAAGCATCTGACTTCAGCCTAGGTCATGATCTCAAGATTCATGAGTTCGAGCCCTGTGTTGGGTTCTGTGCTGACAGCACGGAGCTTGGAGCCTGCTTCAGATTCTGTGTCTCCCTCTCTCTGCCCCTCCCCCGCTCGCTCTCACTCTCTCTCTCAAAAAATAAAAAACACTTAAAAACTTTTAAAAAAAGAACAGATGGAAAAAATTGTGAGACGGTAGAGTTAAACCCAACCATATTTATATTTACCTCAAGTATAAATGGAACACTCCAAATAGAAGGCAGAGATGGTCAGACTTTGTGGGGAAAAAGCAAGACCCAGCTGTATGCTGTCTAGGAGAAAACCACTTTTAGCAAAAAGAAACATAGGTGAAAGGCCAAAGGATAGAAAGCACCTCATGCAAACACTAGTCACAAGGAAGCTGCAGGAGCAATAAATCTCAGACAACTTCAAAATAGCAGGTATTACCAAACAGAAACAGGGACAGTTCAAAAATAAAGGAGTCACTCAAGAAGACATCATAATCCTGAGTAAGTATGCATACAGTAAGTTTCAAATACACGAAGTAAATCAGACAGAATTAAAAAGCTATAAATAGACAAATCCACAATTAACAGTTGGAGACTTTAATAATCCGCTCTCCTTAATCAAAAAGTCCGTAAGGGTACAGGAGGCCTAAATAACGCTATCAACCAACTTGGCCTAATTAACATTAGTAGAATGCTCCATCCAACAGCTGCAGAATATTCATTATTTTCAAGTTCACAAGGAAAATTCGCCAAGACAGACCATAAAACAAATCTCAAATTTAAAAGAGTTGAAATCCTACAGAGTATGCTCTCTGACCATGAGATTAAACTAGAAATCAATAACAGAAAAAAAAATCTGGAAAAAATCCCAAACATTTGGAAATTAAACAGGCTTCTAAATAATCTACGGGAGAAAGAAGAAATCACGGGGGAAGAAAACATTCTGAATATTGTGAACTGTACAAAAATGAAACCACAACATAATCTAAATTTGTGGAATGCAACTAAAGCAGTGTTGGGAAGGAAATCTAATGTTTTTAGTAGTGTACTAACTTTAGAAAATGTGCTAGAAAAATAAGAGCAAATGAAACCCAAAATAGAAGGAAAGAAATAGGGGCACCTGGGAGGCTCAGTTGGTTAAGCATGGGACGCGTGATTTCAGCTCAGGTCATGATCCCAGGGTCATGGGAATGAGCCCCACTTGGGCTCCATGCTGGGAGTGGAGACTGCTTAGGATTCTCTCTCCCCCTCTCTCTGCCTCTCACCCCTGTGCACAAGCTCTCTCTCTCAAAAATAAACGTAAAAAAAAAAAAAAGATTCTCTCTCTCTCTCTGCTCCTCCCCTACTCTCATGCGTGCATGCGCTCTCTCTAAAATAAATATATGAATAAATAAATAAATAAATAGATAAAATTACAGTCAATGAAATATAAGCTGGGTTTTTTGGAAGAATATTAAGATTGATAGCCTTTATCTAAACCAATCAATAAAAAATACAGAAGACACTAATTTACAGTATTATAAATGAAATCAGGAAAAGCACTGCATATCTATAGATACTTAAAAGATAATAAGGGAGGGGTGCCTGGGTGGCTCAGTCAGTTGAGCCCCAACCCTTGATTTTTGGCTCAGGTCATGATCTCACAGTCTTTGAGATCAAGCCCCACGTGGGGCTCTGTGCCGACAGTGTAAAGCCTGCTTGGGATTCTCTCTCGTGCTCTCTCTGCTCCTGCCTCTGCTCACATGTGCACTCACGCTCGCTCTCTCAAAATAAACTTTAAAAAAGAATAAATTTATAACATAATTTAAAATATTTAATTAAAAAGAAATTACATATGTCATGAAAATTAAAAAAGAAAATTGTACGCCCAGGTGGCTTCACCGGTGAATTCTCTTTAACATTTAAGGAAAAATAATGCCAATCTTATATGAACTATTTCAGAAAATAGAAAAAAAGGTAAAATTCTCCAACTCATTCTAGGAAGCCAATATGACCTTGATACCAAAACTAGACAAAGATTTCACAGATACACACAAAAGAAAACTATAAATCAATATCTCTCTTAAATATAAATGAAGAAACCCTTAAGAAAATACTGACAAACCTGGGAATGCAAGCTGGTGCAGCCACTCTGGGAAACAGTATGGAGGTTCCTCAAAAAATTAAAAATCAAACTACCCTACAACCCAGCAATTGCACTACTAGGTATTTATCCAAGGGATACAGGTGTGCTCTTTCAAAGGGGCACATGCACCCCCATGTTTATAGCAGTGCTGTCAACAATAGCCAAAGTATGGAAAGAGCCCAAATGTCCATCGATGGATGAATGGGTAAAGAAGATGTGGTACAGATACACAATGGAGTACTACCCGGCAATCAAAAAGAATGAAATCTTGCATTTGCAACTACGTGGATGGAACTGGAGGGTATTATGCTAAGTGAAATTAGTCAGTCAGAGAAAGACAAATATCATATGGCCTCACTCACATGAGGAGTTTAAGAGACAAAACAGATGAACATAAGGGAAGGGAAACAAAAATAATATAGAAACAGGGAGGGGGCAAAGCATAAGAGATTCATAAATATGGCAAACAAACAAGAGGGTTACTGGAGGGGGTGTGGGCTAAATGGGTAAGGGGCACTAAGGAATCTACTCCTGAAATCATTGTTGCACTATATCCTAACTAATTTGGATGTAAATTTAAAAAAAGAAAATTAAAAAAAGAAAACACTGACAAACCAAATCTAGTAATATATAGAAAGGATAATACATCATAACCAAGTGTAATTTATCCAATAAATAGAAAATTAATTTAACATTTGAAAAATCAATCAACATGAATTACCATATTAATAAAAAAAACAATAGGATCAACAGATAGCAAAAAGAACACTTGGTAACAGTCAAAACACATAATTTTTTCAAAAATACTCAACAAATTAAATATAAAAGTTGAATCTCCTCCACTTGAAAAAGAGCACCTTCAAATAAAACTTATAGCTTGGGGCGCCTGGCTGGTTCAGTTGGTTAAGTGTCTGACTCTTGATTTCCGCTCAAGTCATGAGTGGGATCGAGCCCTGAATGGGGGCTC